ATCCCTTTGGCTTTTTAAAAGAAAACAAAAAAACCCTACTTACTTGTATGGCTACATTATGCAGGGATATAAAATTGTGACCGTACTGTGGGCCTAGCTGTCTCATTCAAATATTTCTTTTAATGTATTTTTTTCCTTTCAAAAGAAGCCTGGTAGGTGGCTCTATGGAAAGATTTGCCCTCTTGAGAAAGTTCATTAAGACTGTCATATACCTTCTTGCATGGCTAGTTTCCAACTCTCCATTAAACTTGACCTCTGGAGCAATAACTAGATATGCCTAATCGGAAAAGCCTGTAAATTGAGAAGAGGTGAGAAGGCTTTCATGTCTGTTGCAGGGACCAACCTGTTCTTTAAAGCAAGAAGTTTGCAAACCTGCATATTACAGCTATGCTGTCGCAGCATGAGCCAAAGTGTATTTGGGGCAATTGCCGCAATGCTTGCGTGCATTGTTACATGACTAATTGTCATGCAGCAGGTACACTCAATAACAAAGTGTTAGTTCCTAGCGTAAAAACGTTGACGTGAACAGAAGTTACCCTCTTAAGATTAAAAGAGCTTCCAGTCTTCCAGACAAACAAATGCAGTCACTGGCTACTGTGTGCTGTTTGTCTTCAGCTGAATAGAGTTGTAGAGGAGAAAGCAGGAACTGGCATAAAAGTAGTAGGTGTCAGTGTGACACAGGACAGAATATACTAGAACTAGCAGAGTGCCTTATTAACACTGTGCTTTTCACGCAACTCTACTGAATCAGTCACAACCAAATTTCTACAGTCTGTGGGCTTTGTTACCACTAGTGGCTGTGGTTCAGCATTGGTAAAAATAAAATTGAATGTACACTATGTGCACTCTGTGGGAGGATTCTTCTAGTGCCAACGGAAGCATTGTCTGTTTGTCTTTGAAGCAATACAACACTAAGGAATTAAAATAGAATTTTCCTAAATTACACAAAAAAAACCACCCTTATAAACCAAGTGGCATTACTGTTGGTCTTAACATGATGTAGGACACACTTGCACAAAATGTCTTCGCGCATTAAATGTCGTCAGCAGTATGCCTTCTAAGAATAAGGGTTTGGGTTTTTTTTTGAAGAGGACTCAGCATTAATTTAATGAAAGCACTTAGGCCAGTGTTTTGTGAAAAGCTAGCTTGACTACCCGTAATAAAAATGAAAGTATCACTCCATTGTTGCTATATTACAAGCAGATGACAATAGTGAATAGTGAGATGGATGATTCTTTCAGTTTTTCTTGCTAGAAATAACTTACGGGATTTAAACATCCTCTTATTTTCAAGAGGTATCATGGGAGGAGTTGCAAAGAAAACTCAGCATGTTCCATCAGTTGGCTCTTGGACCCTTCTTCCAAAGACGCTGAGGTATGACTGCCTTTTCTACCACTGTTGAGATTCATCCAGCTGACAACTGACATGCTCACAACAAACGAGTGCTCTCAAAACTAGCCCTCGAGCAGGAGGGCTGGGGGGGAGTGACCTCTCCAGGGCAGGGTGTTTGTGAACATCTATTGTTGGTGAATGTCATAGTTCTAATTTCACTGTATTGCCTACAGGTTAGTTATGAGATCTTCAGGAGCTTACTCCTTTATGGAAAAGAATGCCAAATTAATTGGGCTTAGCTATTCTGTTGTTATAAAATAACTTTTTGGCTTAGAACGTTTGGGGAAAAAAAAAAAAAACAACCCCATGGTATCATAAAGGGGTTACCTCTAGTAGCAAGGAGGAGTAATTTTTTTCTTTGCCTTGATTTGGAGCACCAGTGCTGCCGTGAAGGATGATGGATGCAGAGCTACCTTAAGTAGGTAATCCAGGACCTCCGATACAAGCTTTTGGTTACCTTGCCATTTATCACACAACTATGCCTTGGGTTTCCTGGGCATCTTCTGAACATGGTAATAGTGCTTGTGTCAAGAAAGCTTTACACGTCTGTTCTGGAGAAAGTTAAGCTTGGAGGTGCTTTTTTTCTTGGGTTTGGAGGATGTCTGAATCTTACCTGGGGAGAATGGTGTTTAACTGGAAAGTCGAAAAGGTTGAGATGCAGAATCCTTGCTTTTTTTCATCCTTCTGTTTCTCTCTGGAGTGGTAAGGATCATCTAAGTACCAGCACATATACCAATCTCTTGGAAATAGACATTCCTGATTCCAAACTAGCACATGTGTAAATAGCTAGTTTTACTTTAATCACCAGAAAATATGCTTTATTGACTGTGAATGGTGCTGTATTAAGAACCGATCTGGCTACAGTACCTTTATAATGGGGGATGTGTATGGAGGAACAGCAACAACTTCTTCAGACAGCAAGAAAAAAAGATAATTGCATATAAAGTGCAGGATTTTAACGTAATTGCCTTGGGGAAAATGTGCATGTGTGAGTTGGAGGGCTTTTGGGGGGGGGGGGGGGGGGGGAGGGAGGGAAAAAAAAAAACCGCGGTCCCCGGGGAAAAAAACATTTGACCTGTG